TTTGGTGATGCAATCAGTTTGTGATGGCCCTACCCCTCCCACCTCCCGTGGCGAAGCAGTGCCATGATTCCTCCTGCCACGCCACGCCGCATCGCGCCACCGAGTTTTCGTCATTCATCGGGACAACGCGACCGTGCGTGTGTGCGAAAGGGAAAGAGAAGGGGGGGTGGAGGGGTTGGGGCGAACCTTTCACTCGTATCTGATTGGGCGTGTCAGAGTGACGGTTCGAACTCCGCAGCCCTCACAAAGCGTCACGGTAGGCTGCAGGGGTGCAGGTGCACCCCCTTTTGAAGTGAAGGTGGCACAGAAGCGAGTGTGTGTGTGTGTGTGTGTGCGTGCGTACGTGCGTGTGTGCGTTCGTTCGTAGCGAGTGTAAAGGCTAATTACTCCCCAGTGCTGCGGGTTTGCATACCTAAGGGGCTATGGCGCCTTACTGGCAGATCGGGTAGGCGAACCCGCAACACTGTGGTGTAGTATTGCCTTTACAGGCGCCCGGGCGTGCATGTGTGCGTGTGTGGGCGCCGTGTAAAACAAGCCGCCACGCCAATCCACGCGGCAGTGTTCACAGACTGACAGGCGTCGTCCGACACATGGTGGGCCTATAGCCTTGTCGGGCACAGCCGTCGCCCCCCGTCGCCCCCCGTCGTCCTCCGCCGCCCCGCCCGCCCCGCTCGCGCAGCCCCACCCCCTGCGGGGTTGTGTGGCGGGGCGGGGCGGGGTCGCGCTGGCGGGCCGGGTGGGCCGGGGCTCAGATGGTCCTGCGCGCTGCTCGCGAGCGGACGTAGCGGAGCGGAGCGCTGGTGGTGTTGGCCCCTCCTGGTACGCCCTGCGCCTCTCGGTACGCCGCCCGGTACGCCCCCGGTGCTGCGTGTGATGTGCGACCCTGCGCCCCCTGCCGGCCCCGCCACGCCCCGCCTCGCCCCGCCACGCCCTGCGCCGCCTCGCCCCGCCGCTGCCGCTGTCACCTCCGCCTCGACCGGCGCCGCCGCCACCGCCCGGGATAGACGCACCGTCCAAAACAAGCACATCAGGGAGGTGGTGGCCGCGGCCTCCACATGGAAGCTGGACCCAAAGGTGAGAGAGAGAGAGCGGCAGCCCGCGCGCCCCGCCCGCCGCAAGCGCCGCGCGCGCCACGCCACCTGTTGGCGCGCTCTAAGGCGGACGTGGCTGAGTTATCAGCTCGTCGCCAGGTCATTAAGAACGAATGGCGTTGGCCCAGGCTGCCGGTGGGGTGACCGAAGGGCTATGACGGACAGACCATGGCCCTGGCCAGACCGAAGGGTAGACGGGTAGACCGAAGAACAGGCTGAATGTCAGTTTGACGGACTGAAGGCCACGTCCGAAGGCATGACTGGCGGTCATGACGGACGGCCGTGAAGGACACAATAACGTACGCGTTCCGGAGCCGTATATTAAAACTCCATCGCCTGGCCCACATCAAGGCAGTGTTTACTGCCTTCTCCCTCCTTGCAATTCAACCCTCCCCACGCCATCTAAACGTGTATTATCACCTAGTTTGGTCCACTATGCCTCTTGGAAGAAGCCAAAAGAGGAAAATCACCCCCAGCCCCCATAACGTATGCGTGACGGAAAACAGTAGTTGCTCACTGGGGCGAGGAAAAAGGGTTGTTTTGGAATTTTAACTTTGCAGTTTGCTCTTCCCCTCCTCTCCCCTCCGGCTCCTCTTGATCGGCAGCGGGCTACCGAAGAGCCGCGCAGCCCGCCTGCTCAAACTCATCTCCCGATGACTAATTTACTCGACGCACGGATCAATAATTTGACAGACCTGTTTTAAACTTGGGTAATGAGTTGGTAACTCCGGGCGCGGGGTTTGGGGCGGGGGGTGGAGGGGGCACGCTCCCGTGGACGGCCCGAGGACGCAGCAGCGCCGAGCAGCGCCCGCGCTCAATCCCGTTCAACTTTTCAACGCCCTCCCCCCTCGCTTGTTTTCCATCCTCTATCTAACGTGTAATGGAAAAAGGGAATTAGCAGTGTAGGTGACGGCGGCCCGCGGCC